CAAACTCCCCCCCCCCCCCCCCCCCCCCCCCCAATTTTTTTTGTTTTGGAGAAAAATGTTCTGAAGAACCTATAGCTTTTATAGCACCTTATCTCAAAGTAATGAAAATGGGTATGATGATTACATGTGCAAATGTACAAAATCATTAACTCTACAAAGATACATCATTCCAAAATTACAGAAAATTTTAAAGCATGCATTTAACTTTTTTAAAGGGTTGCTGAATGCTTCCCCTGAAAAAGGTGGCTGTTCTCAAAATCAGCAACTGCTGGTGAGGATTTCTTGGCACGTTTGTGACCAGCATGTTATTGCTGCATCTTCCTGATAATCTCAGCAGACACGGGGGGATGGAAATTGATTGTGTGGTGCCGCAGGCCCTGAGCTGTCTTGTAACTCTTTCCACAGCGACATTTGAATGGTTTGCGTACGCGGATTTGCGTTCTGTGGCCGTTCTTGGCATGGTACTTTATACCGTTCACATTCTGTGAGTGAAAAAGTAAAACGTTAGTGGTCGAGTGGTCTGATAATGGCTTGGCTTCCTGTTAAAAAAAACCCCAAAACTGATTAACGTTACGGGCAAAATCACACAAATTGCTAGGAACTCCCGCTAGGTGTTACGCACGTGTTGGGCATTCAAGACACGAGGTGGGACAAGAAGGAGAACTACCTGTGTGGTTCTAACGCATAAAGTTTGTCTACCTGGGTAATCCTGATTTTTATCTCCCAACGTATGGCACTTTCCAAAAAACACCATTTAATGGGCTCACACAGAGATGTTCTTACTTCCTGACCTTTTTTTTTTCATATAGGATTGACAAATTTTATTCAGAGGTTCATTTACGAGAAAACAAAGAATTGGCATGAAGACTCGAGTCACACTTCTTCAAAAAGCTGAAGCTCCCCCCATGGTGTGTTTGTTCCGTTTTGTGTCATTGTTTCTAGATATGTCTTTAGGCACCAGCAAATTCTGGTAGTTTACACATTGTCTCCGAAGAATTAACTGCAGGGAACACTTGAGTTACACAGGGCACTTAGAAAATAATCCAGAGAAGCTGTCTTCAAAACAGCTATTGTTTGGGAATATTCTACAGCTAACACTAGAGAACTGATCTCCACTGTAGTTTGGAGAGAAACAACAAAAACCAGCACCACAACACACTTACTTACCCTTATACTGACACAGCCAGCAAATGGGCAACGCTTTTGCTAGATGAACCGAGAACCTTACTAAACTTAAGTCAAAATCATACCCCCGTCCTCCTTTTCACATCTTTCTGGCAGAAGTGGAGGAAGCTGTTGTGGTCTCACTAGTATGTGATACTGCTTTATCTAGGATTCATCTTACTGGAGTCTCTCTTATCTGCTTCCACTAACAGAGCTTGGATTTTGGATAAACAGGGAAAGGCAAACTGTCTTTCATTAGAGCTTCTCCTAGAAAGAAAAAAGACGCCAAGACAATTTGTGACAAAGGCACAGCTCTGAGGCTCTACTGTGTCCTCTCTAAAGCTTCCAGATACGTATCTCATTTTTTTTTTTTAAACTATTAAAGAAAAGACAAAATCAATTAACAGCATGGATATTCATTAACCCACTAAATTAAAAGTTTCAGGGATTTTGTCTTCGCTGAACCACTCCCTGGTGTTACACATAACACAAGTCCCCTTGGCTCTTTTTAAGCAGCGAGTTCAGTTTTATTAACGTGCAGCTTACAGTAAGAGGAAGCTCTAGCTTGGAAGTCACAGCAATTACACAAGTTAGACAATTTGCTCAAAAAAAAAAAAAAAAAAAGAAGGAAAAAGAAAAAGCCTTCAGTAAACGGAATAGAGCTACAACTCCTAAAATTTCAGAAGATTCTATACATATCAGAAAGCAAACCCCGGAAAGGTACAAGGTTAACACCTTTGATACCACTCTCCTGCCAGCACCTCCCTTTCTCTTCCCCTACTCCCTAATCCAACTTCTTCTGAGTCAGAATCTCAAGTGTTCTGTCCCACTCTGGAGAGGGACAGTCCCCGTGTGCTGCCCTCCACTGCCCTGCTCTCACCACAGCT